GAGAGAGACCTGAGAGAGACCAGAGAGAGACCAGAGAGAGACCAAAGAGAGCCCAGAGAGAGACCAGAGAGAGACCAGAGAGAGACCAGAGAGAGACCAGAGAGAGACTAAAGAGAGACCAGAGAGAGACCAGAGAGAGACCAGAGAGAGACCAGAGAGAGACCAAAGAGAGACCAAAGAGAGACCAGAGAGAGACCAGAGAGAGACCAGAGAGAGAGAGACCAGAGAGAGACCAAAGAGAGACCAGAGAGAGACCAGAGAGAGACCAGAGAGAGACCAGAGAGAGACCAGAGAAAGACCAGAGAGAGAGACCAGAGAGAGACCAGAGAGAGACCAGAGAGAGACCAGAGAGAGACCAGAGAGAGAGACCAGAGAGAGACCAGAGAGAGACCAGAGAGAGACCAGAGAGAGAGACCAGAGAGAGACCAGAGAGAGACCAGAGAGAGAGACCAGAGAGAGACCAGAGAGAGAGACCAGAGAGAGACCAGAGAGAGACCAGAGGTACATCTTGTTTTAAAGCAGTCTGAATGTGCTCAGATTAAGACACATTTATCAAATATCAGTATTGTTCCGGTAGAAAACACATAAATCATCTTTAATCTCCGTCAGAACCAGTCTCTCTCTTTCTCGAGCGCCGCAGTCTCAGTCTCTGATGTTATTCCTCCGTCCTCTCTGGCCATAAACGCTGCGCTGACATTTTGCCGGTGATTCTGGTGTTTCTGGTATTATGATAGTTTCCCCCGGGAGAATTATCCAGTACATTAACCAGCGTCAACGAGATTACGAGGCCCTTATCTCACCTCGGGGAATGGAACCAGCGTGTGTGAGAGTGTGTGTGAGGGGACGTATTTACACGCGACGCGGATCATCCAATACGTGTTTAGATATTAATGGGTTTGTTCAGTGGATGAGGAGCAGGAGGCGGCATTTGGACTCCATCACACGGAACACACGTGTGCAAAATATATACGTGTGCAAAATATATATGTGTGAAATATATACGTGTGCAAAATATATATGTGTGCAAAATATATACGTGTGCGAAATATATACGTGTGCAAAATATATACGTGTGCGAAATATATGTGTGTGAAATATACGTGTGCGAAATATATGTGTGTGAAATATATACGTGTGCAAAATATATATGTGTGCAAAATATATACGTGTGCGAAATATATACGTGTGCAAAATATATACGTGTGCAAAATATATGTGTGTGAAATATACGTGTGCGAAATATATGTGTGTGAAATATACGTGTGCAAAATATATGTGTGTGAAATATACGTGTGTGAAATATACGTGTAAATATACGTGTGTGAAATATATGTGTGTGAAATATACGTGTGTGAAATATACGTGTGTGAAATATACGTGTGTGAAATATATGTGTGCAAAATATATGTGTGTGAAATATACGTGTGTGAAATATACGTGTAAATATACGTGTGTGAAATATACGTGTGTGAAATATACGTGTGTGAAATATACGTGTGTGAAATATACGTGTGTGAAATATATGTGTGTGAAATGTAAGGATGCTACAGACGCTACAGATGCTACAGACGCTACAGATGCTACAGACGCTACAGATGCTACAGACGCTATAGATGATGCAGATGCTACAGACGCTACAGATGCTACAGATGCTACAGACGCTACAGATGCTACAGACACTACAGACGCTATAGATGCTACAGATGCTACAGACGCTATAGATGCTACAGACGCTATAGATGCTACAGACGCTACAGATGCTACAGATGCTACAGATGCTACAGACGCTACAGATGCTACAGACGCTACAGATGCTACAGACACTACAGACGCTATAGATGCTATAGATGCTACAGACGCTACAGATGCTACAGACACTATAGATGCTACAGACGCTATAGATGCTATAGATGCTACAGATGCTACAGATGCTACAGACGCTATAGATGCTACAGACGCTATAGATGCTACAGACGCTATAGATGCTACTGACGCTACAGATGCTACAGACGCTAAAGATGCTACAGACGCTACAGATGCTACAGACGCTACAGATGCTATAGATGCTACAGACGCTACAGATGCTATAGATGCTACAGACGCTACAGATGCTACAGACGCTATAGATGCTATAGATGCTACAGACGCTATAGATGCTACAGACGCTACAGATGCTACAGATGCTACAGATGCTATAGATGCTACAGACGCTACAGATGCTACAGACGCTATAGATGCTATAGATGCTACAGACGCTATAGATGCTACAGACGCTACAGACACTATAGATGCTACAGACGCTATAGATGCTACAGACGCTACAGATGCTACAGACGCTACAGATGCTACAGACGCTACAGACGCTATAGACGCTACAGACGCTATAGATGCTACAGACGCTATAGCCGCTACAGACGCTACAGATGCTACAGACGCTACAAAAAAGCAGGATTTCCTTTTGACCATTTCATTAAAAATCCATAAGTTCAGTCATATTTAACAATACAATACAATCTGTTCTTGAATCGCCCTAAATCACAACAGCATCATCTCAGAGACTGAACAAAACCATTGAAATCACCACGGATCAGAGAATTAACAGTTAAACACATGAAGAATATAGAACACTTGTTGATAAATGTCATACATGTAGAATATAGAACACATGTTGATAAATGTCATACATGTAGAATGTTAAAGTGTCCTGGATCACCACAGTCCTTCTTCTTAGACACTAACTGCTCAACAGACCCTGCTGCATAACAATAACTAAAGCTAAAACAAAAAAACGAAAGAAAAAAGCGACAGGAGGAACTATGAAGGCCCCACATGGTTTTGTCCATTGGTGATTATTTATTATTGTAACATGTATAGATGGAATTTTGTCTTTTGAGCATCTTGTTTTGTCATGTACGGAATGAAAAGAGAATGAGACGTGGGTAAATGTTGAGGAATGTTTAAAGAATAATAATAATATCATAGTTTTTGGGCCTGTTGAACGCAGCTTCCAGACTTTAGCAATTAGAACCTGTTGTATTTTTGTTAATAAAGATAATTAAATTGAATTGAACTGAGGCCCAGTCTTCCGTGCACCTATGTTTACTTCTAAGTTTACTCCCAAATTTTACATATTTTTCTAAATCCTTTTTCCGACCCAATAAAACCAGGATAAGTTGCTTTGTTTTAATGCACCTGGCTTTTCACAGCGGCGCACGCAGGACGCCGCAGAAGCCGCACCAACCGCACAAAAGCAGATCATCGGCTTAAGTCTTTCACCACGAACACCGAGAATAAAAAACATGCGTTAATTCCAACCCGCGTCTCGTTACCGCGGCGTCACCTCCTCGCCGTGGCTCGGGATAACTCCACACGGCGCTAGCTTTTGTCGCGCGGCTAATTTTTTTTTGTATTTTCCGAAGCCTTAATGCTGCTACCTGCTAACGTGACTTCTTAGCAGGTGTCTCCTGTCAAGTACGTCTGAAATAACGGCGTAATGAATTAGCAATAAAATGGACTTAGAGGCACCAGGCAGGGGTCCCCATTATCCCCACTCTTAATCACTAAAGAGATGCCATTCACTTGCTCTAAGAAGGCTGCTTTTCCGACCCCGGACGGTCACTGGCCCTAATGGAAGCCTCCCTGCTTGAAGTCGAGCTCCCGAACCCCCGACTAGTTCTTTCTCTTTCTTTCCTTTCACTCCGTCCTCCGCCCACAGCCTCTCTCCCCCCTTCTCTCCCCCCTTTTCTCTCCACTAAGATTATCAGTTTTGATTACCGGCAGCAACAGGCTCTTAGCAGCGGTCGGAAGCGGCGGCGCACACAGCTGAAAGGGCCGCAGCGGGAGTAAGAAGCTTTGGAAATTATGGGGCTGGGCGCGGAGAGAACGGCGCTCGGCGAGGCTTTGTGGCCGTTTAATCAACTCCCTTGACTTTTGATAGTCAAATAACGTTAATTACGGTCGCACCTGCCCACGGGGTTAAAGGCTGGGGACACGTCAAGACACAACCAGCGAGACAGACAAGAAAATGGCCGTGAATGCGAACGCGAACGAAGTCTATTGTTATTATTATTTTTATTTTTGACTGATTGGAAAGCGGCAAACCCTGGGATGCTCTTGTCGCTCGGGCACAATCAGGTCGTGTTTTTGCGGCGAAGAGAAAAGCAGTGATTGACGTGAGCGCGGCGGAGCTGAGAGGTCAGGCCGTCAGAATGACTTTGATTAGCCGCGCGGTGTTTGTGAGAATATGGAAAGCAGCGGGCGGAGGATGCTAATTCCGGGAGACCAATTTGCTCTTTCACTTTTGTTTCTGAGAACTACTTTTGTTGATCTTTCAAAGTTATTTAGTATTTCTGCCACGTTTCAACACATTTCATTATGAGGACGCAGTAGCACTCGCCCTTTCATTGGTAGCTATCACAGGCTGTATGTAGCTGGACGATGCTAACCCGCTAGGTCTATCGGGCCCGGTAGGAAAGTGCTCATGGGTGAAGTTTAGCTCTGGCTCCTGTTGACTTCCATGCAACAGTGAACAAGAGGTTAAAACATCCAACTGTGGCCCTCGACCGAGAGCCTCAACATCTGGCCCCAGTGGCTTTGGGACTATGGGTCTAACCAGGAACCAACCAGGGCTTAACCATGAACCAACCGGGCCCTAACCATGAACCGAAAAGGCCTTAACCATGAACCAACAAGGCCTTAACCATGAACCAACCAGGCCCTAACCATGAACCAACAAGGCCTTAACCATGAACCGAAAAGGCCTTAACCATGAACCAACAAGGCCTTAACCATGAACCAACCGGGCCCTAACCATGAACCAACAAGGCCTTAACCATGAACCAACCAGGCCCTAACCATGAACCAACCAGGCCCTAACCAGGAACCAACCGGGCCCTAACCATGAACCAACAAGGCCTTAACCATGAACCAAGCAGGCCCTAACCATGAACCAACCAGGCCCTAACCATTAAACAACCAGGCCCTAACCATGAACCAACCAGGCCTTAACCATGAACCAACCAGGCCCTAACCAGGAACCAACCAGATCCTAACCATGAACAAACCAGGACTTAACCATGAACCAACAAGGCCCTAACCATGAACCAACCAGGCCTTAACCATGAACCAACCAGACCTTAACCATGAATCAACCAGGTCCAAAAATGAACTAACCAGGTCTTAACCATGAACCAACCGGGCCCTAACCATGAACCAACCAGGCCCTAACCATGAACCAACCAGGCCTTAACCATGAACCAACCAGGCCCTAACCATGAACCAACCAGGCCTTAACCATGAACCAACCAGGCCTTAACCATGAACCAACAAGGCCTTAACCATGAACCAACCAGGCCCTAACCAGGAACCAACCAGGCACTAACCATTAAACAACCAGGCCCTAACCATGAACCAACCAGGCCTTAACCATGAACCAACCAGGCCCTAACCATGAACCAACCAGGCCTTAACCATGAACCAACCAGGCCCTAACCATGAACCAACCAGGCCCTAACCATTAAACAACCAGGCCCTAACCATGAACCAACCAGGCCTTAACCATGAACCAACCAGGCCTTAACCATGAACCAACCAGGCCTTAACCATGAACCAACCAGGCCCTAACCAGGAACCAACCAGGCACTAACCATTAAACAACCAGGCCCTAACCATGAACCAACCAGGCCTTAACCATGAACCAACCAGGCCCTAACCATGAACCAACCAGATCCTAACCATGAACCAACCAGGCCTTAACCAGGAACCAACCAGATCCTAACCATGAACCAACCAGGCCTTAACCATGAACCAACCAGGCCCTAACCAGGAACCAACCAGGCACTAACCATTAAACAACCAGGCCCTAACCATGAACCAACCAGGCCTTAACCATGAACCAACCAGGCCCTAACCATGAACCAACCAGGCCCTAACCATTAAACAACCAGGCCCTAACCATGAATCAACCAGGCCTTAACCATGAACCAACCAGGCCTTAACCATGAACCAACCAGGCCTTAACCATGAACCAACCAGGCCTTAACCAGGAACCAACCAGGCACTAACCATTAAACAACCAGGCCTTAACCATGAACCAACCAGGCCCTAACCATGAACCAACCAGATCCTAACCATGAACCAACCAGGCCTTAACCAGGAACCAACCAGATCCTAACTATGAACCAACTAGGCCTTAACCATGAACCAACCAGGGCTTAACCATGAACCAACCAGGCCTTAACCATGAACCAACCAGGCCCTAACCATGAATCAACCAGGCCCTAACCATGAACCAACCAGGGCTTAACCATGAACCAACCAGGCCTTAACCATGAACCAACCAGGCCCTAACCATGAACCAACCACGCCCTAACCATGAACCAACCAGGCCGTAACCATGAACCAACCAGGCCTTAACCATGAACCAACCAGGCCCTAACCATGAACCAACCACGCCCTAACCATGAACCAACCAGGCCGTAACCATGAACCAACCAGGCCCTAACCATGAACCAACCAGGCCCTAACTAGGTCCTAACCACATTTAAAGTCATAATTATAACTGTGGATTTACTTTTATTAAACTTGAATTTTGAGGTTAACGTCTGGAAATGGACCGCATAGAAATGAGACCCGGGCCGGATGTGGCTCCCGGGCCGCAGTTTGCCTAGGTCTGCTGTAGTCCCAGTCCCAGTCCTGAGGTCCAGTGTTTCCCGTGTGTGTCCACTCTGTCACCGTCTGTATAAGGACTGTGCTACATTTAAAGCTCGGCAACCTAACTTTGACGTCACCAATAAAAGAGTGCGGAACCATTAGAGATTTTATGTATTTTTGGTTTCGTCAGAACTTTTGATCCACTTTTTCAGCCATAAAAGAGAGATCTCAGCCCAAGGCCTTAAAACTATGTTGAATTAATGATTCTATTGTTCTGTTTTTAACATAATATAACGTTTTTTATTTAACTACAATTTCATGTCGGCCATTTTGAACACGCACCCGGGCCATTCCTTTATCTGATGAACTGATTTACTGAGTGTGTGTCTGTGTGTGTGTGTGTGTGTGTGTGTGTACATGTGTTGTGTGTGTACATGTGTGTGTGTGTATATATGTGTGTGTGTGTATATTTATGTGACATATTAGCCTGTCAGTGGTTGTGTCAGCAGTGCGTGGTGTGTAGTGTTTGTGCGTCACTGACCCCAGAGCAGAGTGTGGTGTGTGTGTAGTGTGTGTGTAGTGTTTGTGCGTCACTGACCCCAGAGCAGAGTGTGGTGCAGACAATAGGAGTAAATCAAGTGGACGCCTGAAGTGTGTGTCTTTCTTCTGCTGCAGGTTCATACAACAACAGTCTTTGTGTCTGTGTTTGTGTGTGTGTGTGTGTGTGTGTGTGTGTGTGTGCGTGCGTGCGTGCGTGCGTGCGTGCGTGTGTGTGTTTGACCTGTATAAATGAGCGATATGAAAGCGAGGTTTTAAAAAACTGTGCAGGTGAAGACTAATTTGACCAAA